AAAAAAAAAAGTCTTGAGTTGTAACTAAATTAAGTACTGTAATAGTTACATAGGTTTTTAATAAAAAGTTTCGAGTTGAAACTACATTTAATTACTATTTTAATAGTTATACAGGTTTATTTTCTTTTTCTTAGTCAGGTGAGAATATCTCAGTTCTCTGACTCTTGCTTCTTTTCCTAATGGACTGCTTGAAATATAGGGTAAAGTATTTAAACTGTAAATAGTATTCATTCTAAAAAGTAAAACAGATTTATGGGTCCTACCACCTAAAGCATGGGGACAAAGTCTCAACATTTTAAGAAATACTGTTTTAGGAAAATAAAATAAAAGTACTGGCTGGGAACAGCATATAGTAAAATCTAAATAATCAATAATAATATCTCACTTTAGGAATCTCTAAGTAAAATAATAACAGTGATCCTGCAAGATATCAGAAATATGTGATTTTATTTTAATCATGTTTTATTGCCATATTACACTCACCTTCTGTAGCAAACTGCTCTAAATGTTTTAGGGTAATTTCTTTGTATTTTGAAGTCTCTGCCAGTCGATCATAAATCACAGTATCCTAGAAAACAAAGAGAAGTATAATGCACTTAAGCATTCTGAGTTTTAAAAAGTTGATATTGGCAACAATATTAGTAGGAAATCAGTATAAAAACTACCAATCACTTTTAGAATTAATTTAAAAAATATTTTCACCTAATTATAATGCACTTAAGCATTCTGAGTTTTAAAAAGTTGATATTGGCAACAATATTAGTAAGAAATCAGTATAAAAACTACCAATCACTTTTAGAATTAATTTAAAAAATATTTTCACCTAATAACACTGTTTTCCTCATGACACTAAGAAAAAGGTTCTAGTCCTACATTTTCATTTCCTTGTCTCTGAATAAATCTTGAATCATGCCAATGTTCAAAATCATATATTCTATTAATACGTCATTTATCTCCCACATGCTGCAAGATCTTCCCCCATCTCTGAAGGTTTTGCAGAATACTGTAAAGAGTTCATAAGTGCTACAAGGAAGAACAGTCCAGAACTCAAGAAAATTTGGTAAATTCTGGACTGACCAAAGCTAAAGAGCTTTTCCTGCTGCAATGCTTCGTAGCGAATTTAAAATCTGTGTGTGTGGTGGATCTCTAAGGGAGCTACGTCGTAAGTGCCCCAAACTCATTTGACCGGAGAACGTTTTAGGGGTTAGAGTATCTTTATGGGACTGTGCTCACAGAAGAACAAATTTTAAGAAAAAAGGACTAAATCCATAGAGAAGGCTAGTAGGTATATTGAGAACCTTGGACAAACCTTAAACTGCCTTCAATAGCTGAATACTTCTGACTGCGTCACTTCAGCTTTAAGACTTAGTTTACTTAATCTGTAAAATTCAATTACTGGATTATCTTTAAAGCACTTTTCAGCTTTAACTTTATGCACAACTTATGTTTCTCTAGTTTTTGCTCCTTTAAAAATTGCCTATTATTCCTTTAGTTATTCCCTGGCTTTGGTCTAATGCTTTAAGAATTTTAGTATTCAGCCTTCGTGGTTTTATTAGACCAGGAAAAAATAAATCATTTACATGCAATTACCTTCTCAGTGGTATTACCCATTTTGGGGTCTCCAGTCTCAGGGCTGAGATTTGGAAGCAGACTAATGGAGTATGATTTAGAACCCATGAGAGAAACAGAACTCAGTGACCTCAGAACAGATGGAATATTCCAGACCCCAATTATGAATTTCTTTTCATTTTTCAGTGGCTGAATGGAAAGGGGGGCAAAGCAAAAGGAAATGATAATTTCTCTTCAGGGCTCCTTCCTGAGAATGAAAGGTATAACTAATGAATTCTATGTTTTTCAGAGGCCAATGAAATTTTCAGTGAAATTAATATAGGCCATTTTAAAACCAAGAAAATCTTTTGAAAAATTAAAATCATGAAAGCAAAAGTTATAAGTAATAAAATCAGGAAGACTAAATTCTGCAGTGTATGTAAATATTCTAGTGGAAAAAACTATGCTTGGAATAGGAGAAATTAATTTTCTACTTTCTTTATAGAGAAAAGCAGGGGACAGAATGTGGCTTTCTGTATTAAACATATATTATGTTTTTAGATGACAATCACAATTGGCTGTCCATGCTTACTTGTGAAAAATAAATATATACAGATACTTTTTCACCCATAGTAACACTCCTTTAGTCAGAAGGTTATATCAAGTATTTGTTAGATTGTTAGGAACCAAAAATGGTTTCTTTACAGGCACTAAAGCATGTTATGCACTAGATTAGACTAAAACACACTGAGTCTTTGTTTATGGGAAATCTTCACTGGATTTATTTATCTGGTACTCTGGTCCTCGAAAGGTAAAAGCAAAAATTTATAGTGAGGAGATGCTGCTGGAGTAGCATGGCATAGTCACATTCTAGGCTCTGTATAAACAGCCCAGGGCTTTGAGGAAAGTTAAACTCATGATTAATAATTCATCTTTGGTAAATTTTCATTCAAAAAGTTGTTTTCGTACTCATCTTTTAGACTGAAGTTCAAATACTGCTCTATTGTTACTTAGAGCGAGCACATGGTAAGCGTTCAAAAAAAATGTTTGTTAAATGAATAAAACATGTGATGTAATTCTCGATCATCCTGAAAGTTCACTTGTATGGAATACCATGTGATACCATGTTGCCCAATACAGAAGGAGGAAGAACTGCACAATAAAATGCAAAAGGTAACAATAAAAGCAGGTAGCACTGCGGGGGAAAAAAAAGGTCTTACATAATCATTTACTTAAGTAGTGCAGTTTATACTGAAACGATTGAGATAATCTTGCTATGATTAGCCAATTGCCGTAGAGGAATCTGATCTTGCTGTCAGGTCCAACGGCAAGCAAAGACTGACCTGCTACATGAAGCTTGGGCACCATTGAACTGGAAGTTTACCAAAGATATGAGACACACTCATATTTAAACACAGAGAAACATTTTCTATGTTTATGTGTGCCATTCAGAATTATCTGTACTCTGCCTCTGACTTGGTGGTAAATTGCTGAAAATAACTAATTTCAGACGTGTTTTTTTTTTTTCAATATGGCACAAAACTTTAAGGGACACATAACTTGACATTTTCAGTCACTTTAAGGGTCCTAAAGTATTAAGTTTATTAGTCAAGTTTCTAATCCTCTGATATATAAATTTTGGAGTAGGATTCTTGTTTTCTTGAATAAATTTTTATTTGTATAAATGTAACTTTTCTTAAGATGGCTACTATTACTGATATAAAAGATATATTGTGTACTTTTTATGTAAGAATTAACAAAACATCTTCATTTTAGAAACCCTAGAAAAAGCAGGAAAAATAAGTCATCCATAAACACACACACATATGTACACAAAGTCACTATATTTGTGCTGTATTTTAGATGAACTTTTCTTCCAATTCCCCAATTCTACTTCCACCCCTTCAACCATGTTTAATCCAGAGTTTATTCTATTTAGTTTTTATTTAAAAAATTATTTATGATTTCTAATTTACCTTACATGTATTCCCATTTTCACTCCATATTTATTTTTAATTGAAAATATTTGGAATTTATTTATCATGTTGAGCTATAAACATCCTTTGTGAGACTGGTCCACACAAATGATTTAATCTGGAGTGAATCCATGATCCAGTTGTTTTTGTTGCTCATCATCTCCCTTGGCATGAGATTTCCTCCTGTGCCACCAAGCTTTGCTCTTGCTCTCTCCCACTTTGCACACATCCCAACCTAGTGGCTTTAAATATCCTCTGCAGAGGTGGACACGAGGTTTCTCAGCTTCTTTTCATGACTGGGGAAGCTTACCACTGTCTTTGGCTTCAAAGCAGGGAGTCTGGTTCCCATCTGCGTTTTATATAAAGTACTATTTGCTCCATTACCCCACAGAGGACAACTCCAGCTATTGCTCCTGGATTCCAAACCCACAACCTGAGACTATCACCCCACCCAGCTCAAGACTTCAGTTCAATGAATCGCTATGATTTTTTATTTGTATTTTAATCTCCAAAGATATGTATCTTGTTTTTAAGTCTGGTTTTTTTTTTTTTTCCTTTTTGTCTTTTTTCGTGTCCGGCAACGGATCGCAACCCTCAGTGTCGTGCCCGTACCGGACCGGGACCGGCAACGGGATCACAACCCTCGGTGTTGTGCCCGCACCTCGCTCAGCCAGTGAGCGGGAACCGGTCTGTATGTGGGATCCGAACCCTCGGCGGGAGTGCCACCGCGCTCCCAAGCGGCGCACTGTAGCAGTGCGCCACCGGGCCGGCCCCTTAAGTCTGGTTTTATCTTTCTGTTTTCTTTTTATACAAACTATATCCATCACTGCCACGATTTTGGAATAGAGGAGATACGTCAAAACATCAACATACTCTCCTGAATGGGAAGTACTACCGATGACTTCTTAGTGAATTCTTATTACTAGGTTTTTGTTGTACTTGTCACTGTTGATTATTCCTTCTAACAAGGAATCAAAAGGCTCCCCCGATTCTTCTCCAATTTCAATCTCCTCCAAATTTCTCCCTTCCTGGTTTTTTTTTCTTTTCACTTTTAGCCCTCATCTCTTTTCACATAATATTTTCATCATATACAATCTTATCAATTCTCTGCTTTTAATTTCCAGCTATACTTGTTAACAGATCAGTAGTTGCACCCCAGATTTCTTCCCCTGTGAAATCCAGGTATCTCTGCTTTATAACCCAAATGTAGCTCCCAACTCCCTATTTTGGTAAGTGGTATCACTTAGTCTACAATTATTCTAGACAATCTTTTCCCTCATTGCCAATGTGCAATAAATTACTAAGTCCTAGATATTTCTCTTCTCAATCTTCTGTGCAACGTCTTGGTGCAAATCCTAGATTCTTGCCTGGACTATTTATTGTCAATGACCTCAACTGGTAACTCTGTATGCATCTCTCTTCAGCCTTAAATCATCTCCCTAAATGGTATCAGAATGATCAGGAAAAAAATTCAAGTTCTTAAACATGAAAAAAAAAAAAAAAAGACCTAACTCAGGCCCACCTTTCCAGTCTCATATTCAGCTATTCCCTGCCAAACTACAAGTAGTTCTCAGATATTTGTTGCTATTTTATGTGATTATGCCTTTTTACCACTTAACCATATTTCATAGTCAATTGGGGAGTGAGGGAAAACAATGCAATAAAAAAGTTAATATATGCAAACTATCTCTGTGATGACTAAAAAAGGAAGCCCAATGTTTTTATTTTTTATTCAATGCTTTAATTCCCCAGTTTCTAGGTAAAACACTGTGCAAAACTAAAAAAAGAAGAATGTGATTTGGGTATTGTAAACTGGATATATATCAACCAATTAAGGTGGGAGGTCTTAAAGACTTTCTTTATTCCCTTATCACTGAATGTTACCATTAGGATACAGAAGATCTTTACAATATACTTCAATATTGTATCCTAATCTTCTCTTTTTATATTTCCCTAACTATTCTTAAGCTCCTGACAAGTCTTAGGACTTATCTTCACATCTCCAAAATCCAGTTCAAACTCTGATGATAAAATGTACACAATGAATAAATGCTAAGTGTTTGAATCACTGAGAATACAAAACCAAAGGAATACTAAAACTAAATTCATAAGACATTACAAATTAATTCCACCAAAATTTAAATGTTTTAAAACCAAGGCATCCAAAAATTGCATTTCAATGCTTTAAAGAAAAGGCATTTATTAACATTCACAACAAGAATTTAAATAATAGGCTTGAGCTTCTTAAGTTCAGTTTCCAAATTTCCATGTGATAAAAGCAAGGGTGTTGATTTTATTTAAAACTGGAAAGTTCCAAGTTGGGAAATTTATAAACTAGATACCTGAAAAGGCAATTCAGAAGGAAAATACTGACTGATCTCAATAACAAAAAAGGCCCTGGTCAGTAGACTTCTTATTTTTCCATGAGGAAAATTCACTTAGAATGACATATTATGATTTCTGTCAATATAACCTGCCAGTACACCAAAGCCAACCAATAGTCAGAAGTTTTGTTATAATTAAAACAATGCAAGACAAACACCAGTAATTATAATCTAATTTTTCCTCCCATTTCTATGGTCTTTAAAAAATAAGATTCAAACTAGAGTGGATCACTACATTATAATACAATTTAAAAATATTTTCTATATATAATGGTCTTCTAAAATAGTTTATATAATATAAACCTCTAATATTATGTATCACAAATTGAATTATAAAAATAATCTAGGCCAAGCTTTTGCAAAGCAAGAAATTTACCTGGATGGAATTCAACATTTCACCAGAATGAGCTGAACACTATTACTATAAAATACCAATGAAAGTGGAATGTCAGTAACTTCATGTTAAACATGTGTGTCACATTTCCATAGCAGAATGCCTAACATATACATTATAAACCATCATAAATCAAAACTGTAAAAGAGAAAAATACTTACAGCTCCTTTGCAGTAAAGTCGTAACTTCCCGGATGGGGTGCGAACAATCACTGACATTCTTTTTCTAGCGCTGAAAGAAAGAGGTTTTCCATGATGTCCTTTTATACTGAGCATGTGCATATATATGTTTGTCATGCCTCACATACTTTAATACTCACGGCAAAAAAGTAAATTTGGCCAAAGTATGAGCCCTATCCTTCCACCTATACAAACTATCCCCCAGGTGTACAGTAGGGTACCTTTG